AGTCATAACTCATAAACCACATGGTAAATGTTGTTTTTAATTTTGCATCAAGTGACATTTAAGATCATATAACTGTTCTATGTTGTCAATTTTACAGTTCCTTATAGTGCCCATTAGGGGTGTTTTTGCCTTAAGTGCTCACTTCGAGTTTAGCCCTCGTGTTATTTCAATATGTGTTAACGTTTAAGTGGATTGGTCTACAATAGGCACATACTCATAAGTATTTCAAATATCGAAAATGAAAAAAAAAAAAAAAAAAAAAAAAAAAAATAGAGATGTTTTATTTGAATTTCAATTATGAAATACTTCAAAAGAGATTATAATTGTAAAGTTTTAGTATCAGTGTTCATGTTATAAATAATCATAGAACAAATTATTATATACAACGTACTATATATTTAGATATGAGCCGTGTCATGACAAAACCAACATAATGGGTTTGCGACCAGCATGGATCCGCGCAGTCTGTTCAGGATCCATGCTGTTCGCTATCAGTTTCTCTACTTTTAATAGGGTTTGTAAGCGAACGGCATGAATCTTGATCAGACTGCGCGGATGCAGAAATGATATGGAATTGAAAGGCGGCACACATAAACAACTGATGCAATTTTCCAATCTATTTCTCTTATTAAAAAAGGAATTGAGGCAGTGCAAAGCTAAAAATATTCTATATATATTTGCGGTTTTGTAGCGATGCGAAATTTTAGCTTAAATGGTGAATTGGTGTAAAGCATTCTCGATGTATGCCATATTATTGCTTTAATTGACCATCTTTTGACATGTTCGGTGATTAAGGAGGTACATTAACTTGTACAAGACTTGCATATATCGTCTTAAACTGAAATTACGTTCACAACACTCTGATCGGTACAGATATGGTTTCGCCAGTGGATTTATTCAGTTTTTAGTTATTGTTCTTAACTTAATAAAATAAGCAGTTTTCATTTTGTACGTAGCTCAAAAAGTTTTTAACCAAGAGACATGAAAAATTACAGCAATGTTGGTCAGCACGTGTAGTTGTGCACATGGGCTTTTGCTTAAAGATTGTTTCAGTATTTGTAGAATAATAGCTCTTGACTTAGTAGAAATATAACCTTGAGTCATGAAACTTTACAGAAATGTTAATCAGCATGTGAAGGTATGCAATTTGTAGTACCGTAACTCTAGGGCCACTTAAAGCATTCTCAATTATATTTTTACATAAGCTCGCAGCGCACCAAGTTTCATTAAAATATCTCATTCTTAACATTAAGTTGTTGAACGGAAACTAAAACAAACAGAAACTTATTTGAAGCAGTTTTCTGTTAGATATGTAACCTTTTACAACGCAAGACAATGTGTTATGTCCATTTTGAAATGAGTTTCGAATCAATCAATAAAAGGTTTTAATTTATTTTGAAAACATAATTTCATTTCAATTTTGTTAAACTCCTCTCGGCCCAAATGTCTTTATACTTCCTTCCAAGGTAATAATGACAAGGGTTGTCTTGTGAGTTCCGTCGCTAATTAGATAAAGTTGCTGATTTCAATCACTTTGTCCTTCATCCTTATTAGGTCTAGTTAGCTTACGAAAGTTTAAAGGTTTGATCCAATTCTACATTTAGGCACGTGTGCCTAAACAACAACATTTCACTTTAATAGATGTTATAAAACGAAATAATATTGTTACCTAAGTAACCGAAATGTTTTGATAGTTTGATGTGTCAATAAATCCCAAAAGTAAGCGATTATGACATATAAGTATTTAAGCGATTACAATCAAATGTTGTCTGGACATTTTATTCAAGTACATTTTCTAGTAACAACTTTTAAGCGTTTTAATAAATTGCGCCCAATTTGCGCCCTATTTTGAAGAAAAACTAACTGCAGTATAAACGTAACAAGAGTAGTGATATAGGTTTACCTTGCATATGTTTCACCCTTGGATTTACACTCTTCCATCTCCTTGAAGTTACTCCTATAATGTTTGAAAAGTGTATTAATGTCTATATACGTAAAATACGTAAAAGCAAAATTTATATTATGTACAGAGTAAACCTTTCTTTAAATTCGTTTGATCCATTTTGTTAAAAAACTTTCCTAACATCACTGACATAAACAAGGTAGAGATTTTTTCCAGATTTAAAAAGTGATATACCTACCTGTCGTTCGAGTGTGTTTGTCCCAGGAGGTTGATTTTAAAATTTTGTTTGCCTCCTCCGTTCCAACTGATACATCCAACATTTCATTTTGTAAAATTTTGACATCACTTTCCAGGCACAGAATTTTGTCACTATACCATTTACGCAACACGTCTCCCAAGTTAGGCATATTATTGACCGACGTTTTTTCAATTTCATCTTTCATTTCATTCTTATATGTTTCACCAACAGCATTTTTCGCAATTTCTAGTGTTGAATCACGAAGGTCATTCCAAATATCATTATATTGTTTGAAATCTATTTTTTCTGTACTTGGAAAATGTTGCAAGGTATTTCTATGTTCCTTGATTAGTTTCAAATGTCCTAGCAATGGTCTGGTATTAGATTCAAACAATTCTGTTAGCAACAATACTAGAAGAGAAGAATCCCAGTCATCAATATCTATTGGTCTTACATGGAACAGCCGATTCTTTTGATCTCGAGTCAGTGATTTTATTTGGGAAAGTTTTTGACGGCGAAGCGCTATGTAAGCTTTGATGGTGAATGGTTGTCCTTTAGTGAAATCTGCCTCTGCATATTTGTGAAATAACTTTCTGAGTGGCTGTGGACAGACATCGACAATAAATGTGACAAGACGGTAATACATATCAGCCATCACGATACGCTTTGAAATATCCTGTTAAAGAGATTAAAAGCTTATAAATAACAGACAGGTATACTTTTTCATTTCTTATTTCTGTGAAATTACAAATTCTTAAATTTAGAAAAGTAACGGTTATCGATATTTCGAGCAACACTAGTTTTAAAACTTTCTAAAATACAACATAACTTGCTCTCTCATGCGGCAACTTTTATTATCATTTATTGGTTACGTTTTAATTCTTTTATTTCGGTTGAGTAATTAAAAAAAGAGACATAGTTGACCTATTGCTGGGTAATTAATGAGTTTTCTCTTAATGCAGAAAAAACTATCAATATATAGTTATGACGTATCACACGGATTACTGATTTTGATTATTTTGGTCAGAACTTTTTTTTTCTAACCTGAGACTGGCCATGGAATGCCCAGAATTGACACAGTTAAAGGTTCATAAACGGGAATTAAATAAAACACAACTGCCAGATAAAAAAATCAGAAAACTGATTTAAAATTGAAGAACTAAATAAATACTATTGAGTAGCTTTAAGATTCTGCAGTTGAGTGCTAAAGATGATCTATAATCCCTAAGACATTTTTGTTCAATAGCACTAAGAAGGTATTTATTTTTTACATCATATTCAGTTGAAAAATGTTTAAAGATGAAGAAGAATGAATCAAGAGATTTTCTAAATTGGATAATACACAAAACATAATATTACATAAAAGACTAGTGTTTTTAGTGAAACATTTGACTAATATGATTTCTTTGAAAAACTAGTAAAGTACCAAACACTCTCTGGAAAATTTATTGATGCTCATTTTGAATATAAGTTCATGCATATCTATTTCGATTACACAGTTTCCTTTTTAAATCCTAGAAATTATTTATAATTTTAAATAATAAAAAAAAAACAATTGTATACCCAAACATACAATAGTATCTTATTCTTGAACTGGTACCTGAAAATATCTAACTTCAAGGTTCCTACAAAGTTTTAAAAAGATATTAATTAACCATTGCATCATATACACTATATATGCAGTAAAAATAAGACAGTGCAGGACATAGCTTTGACTTGTTGTCTACATTCTTAGTGCTTCTTATCCATAAAAGGGAAGTCAATGGCAATTTGACATGTATTAAAGATATGGTAATTATGTATTTTATGCTTGATTTATCCGTGAACATTTTATTTGATAATTTCATAGTGAATATTATCAAAATATAATTTCACACTTTTCAAAGACGAGACTAATTTTTAAAGATTTTCCCCATGTGGTACCTCAATTTTATTTTTGCTGACAATTCTGACATTGTTAGGGCTTTATAGAGAAAAGCAAAGCTGAAAATGATAAATAATTTTACCCCCGCACAACAAAGTTGTAAGGGGGGTATACTGGAATCAGCTTGTCCGTCCGGCCGTCCGGCTGTCCGTCCGTCCGGCTGTCGGTCGGTTTTTTCTTGTCCGCCCAATAACTTAAGATTCCTTTGACCTTTAGTCTTCATATTTGGCATGGAGGTTAGTCATGATTAGTAGATGACCCCTATTGATTTTGAGGTTACTAGGTCAAAGGTCAAGGTCACAGGGGCCTTGACTTCAAAAAGCTTGTCCGCCCAATAACTTAAGATTCCTTTGAACTACAGTCGTCATATTTGGCATGGAGGTTAGTCATGATTAGTAGATGACCCCTATTGATTTTGAGGTCACCAGGTCAAAGGTCAAGGTCACAGGGGCCTTGACTTCAAAAAGCTTGTCCGCCCAATAACTTAAGATTCGTTTGACCCATAGTCTTCATATTTGGAATGAAGGTTAGTCATGACTAGTAGATGACCCCTATTGATTTTGAGGTCACCAGGTCAAAGGTCAAGGTCACAGGGACCTTGACTTCAAAAAGTTTGTCTGCTTCATGGATGTTGAGCATGATTAGTAGATGACCCCTTTTGATTTTGAGGTCACTGGATCAAAGGTCAAGGTCATAGGGACTTTGACTTTAAAAAGTTTGTCCACCCATTAACTTATGATTCCTTTGACCCATAGTTTTCATATTTGGCATGGATGTTGATCATGACTATAGGTGACCCCTATTGATTTAAAGGTCACTGGGTCAGACGTCAAGGTTACAGGGACTTCAAAAAGTTTGTCTGCCCAATAACTTAAGATTCCTTTGACCCACAGTCTTCATATTTGGCATGGAGGTTAGTCATGATTTGTAGATGACCCCTAATGACTTTGAGGTCACCAGGTCAAAGGTCAAGGTCACAGGGACCTTGACTTCAAAAAGTTTGTCCACCCATTAACTTAAGATTCTTTTGACCCACAGTCTTCATATTTGGCATGGATGTTGATCATGACTATAAGGTGACCCCTATTGATTTTTAGGTCACTGGGTCAAAGGTCAAGGTCACAGGGACCTTGACAAAAAAAGCTTTTCTTCTCAATTGCTAAAGAATGTCCTGTCCGCAATGTATTGATTTTGACATTTTCACATTTGAAGCATGTAGAATACATAACTTAGCAATGCACTGGCTTAGTAACCTCAGATTTGGCAGGGAGGTTGTCCTTGAGCTCTAAATGGCCACTCTTGATTCTGACAAAGTGATATGCAGGGGTATTCACGCCATGCTAGTGGGAGTTGTAGATTAAATTTCAAAAGTAATAAAAAGACAAAAAATCTTACTTCAATTAATTCAAATTACCAGTCACCAAATATCGTCTCTAATTTTCTTGTTTTAATTTTACAGTCTGAAAAATACACTTCCTTCCACAGGCAAAATGCTCTTGATGACATTTGGGCATATTAAGATATCCTACGAACAATAACTGCCTAATGCAATATAAAAACTTGAAAAGCAATGACAGTCATCAGCCCGAAGAATAAGTAAACATAAACAACCAAGCATTTGTAAGACAGCCTTTCAACAATTCCATGTTTTTCAAATTCGTAGCCGCTTTTTGAATGTTAATACATCTGTCAACAATGATTTATTGTCTGTTACAATCCTCAAATAAGTTTTCTTTCTTATAAAAAAGATGTATGAAAAACAAATTCAAATGATATCCCTCTGAATCAAATACAATTATTTTCCTCCCTTAAAATAAACAACTTTTAAAAACGGCTGCTTACATTACACAAAGCATTGGCTGTAAGTAACGGAAATAAGGTCGAATGGTGTGACTTTTTCTTCTACTAGAATAGATTGTTTTCATTATCAAAACAAGCGATCATTCATATTTTTTCCAATAAAATAAATAATATCATAGCTATTCAACGTTGATTGTAGAGCTTATTATCAAGCTTAAGACTTCTTCTATTAATTTTAATATTAAAGTCAATATTAAGGAGATTTCATTTAACCTTATTTTAAGCATAAAATAAAAAGAAAATTTGTTTGTTGTATAAGATGTAATTTTATTTCATCTCGTGAACTTTAATAACAGTTTTCTCACTCATGGTTACAAATATCCTCCATTCTCCATTTATTATTACATAGTAATTTTTCATAATAATATTTTCATTGGAATATTTTTCTTGAACTGTTTCAAGATTATATACACTTCAGGTTGTTTACATATTTATTCCTGAAATTTAAGAATTAAAATTAATTGAAGCGTATTACCTATTTTGATATCAGCCTGTTATTTTTTCTAATGTTAATTAATTTTTTTATTAGATGATTGCCTTGAAATTTGGTCATTATAAACTATATTTTTGTCTTCATTTGTTATTACCAAATACAGCAGAATTGATGTTTAAAAAATTGAATCACTTAAATTGTTGACACACATATATTCACCTAGCATAGTTTTATTCGTAAAACGTCATGTAGTGGTTTACCCCACCAAGATCCTTTGTATAGATTTTACATATTTGTAAACCTCATATTTTATAAAATGTATCCAAAGATTATAATAGTACAGCAATCATTTATTATACTATTTCAGCTCATTTTACCAAACTGCAGTAACTGTTTTGTCCCTGTATTTAAAAAACATTTTGATTTCAAAGATCATGCAAAGATAATCATCATATCATGATAACCATCAACATAACAATTTACATGCTTCTTCCCCTCACAGTCATCACTCTAATCATCGTAAGCATCTTCATCCTTCTCAATGCAATCAACAAGCTTCTGCTTATCATTAAAATCATCGGCAACATGACTTTTTCAATTATTAAAAGGAAAATCATTATAATGAGAAACAACAGTATGAAAACCATCATCAACATCATAATCAACATCATCACAATTAAAGTATAATCATCATCAACAACATATTCTTTTTCATTTAAGAAAAAAACATTATAATATAGCTTGGTCAACAACATGTAATAATCATCAATCACCGCCATCATTATCATCAATATCATCATCATCATAATCACAATAAGTGTAGTTGTTAACAATAACTTACTGATTATTATTTTACAATGATTAAGACCACTATTATCAATATGAAAAGTGGCAGCAGGATGTCATCATAATAATATGTAGGGAGAGAAAATGTGCAGGCTGGCCTGTACTCAAAAAAGGAACCCTAAAAATAATATTCGGCAACTTAACTCATTTATTTATTAAGTAGTTTTCACATTTTCTCACCTTAATACAATGAATAGTTCTATATATCTGCATTTGAAATTTGTCTTTACTATAGGCACAGTGAATAAACACTTAGCTGCATACATGATACAACCAGGCCCCCTTGGGTGCCAAATGTCACATGGTGAAAAAATGTACCTGTCCTGTATTGAAACTAATACTATTTAGCAGCTCTACTGGCCGAGCTAATTATTATAGGTTCATTAAATATTAATGAACTGTCTATATAATGACACTATCCACATACTTTTTGCTCATCATCATAATCATTAACAACATTATGTTATCTACTTTGACAAACACCATCATTATACAAAGGTCTTCATTCATAACAACCTTCATCATCATAATTATTGCAATCAACATATTTCACCTCATCATCAACTTTCTCATCATCATCATCTTCATCATTATCATCATCACCACAATCAA